GAGTTAAGTACATTTGAAGATACAAACCCCATGAGTAAAAGTCAGTTGTATTTCTTTATAACAACAATGAGCAATTAGAAATTGAAATTAAAAACTTATGAATTCCACTTGTAATCACATAAAAGGATTGTGGTCCAGGCCAGCCTGGGCAAAAAATGCTTGACTCTATCTGAGAAATAAAGCAAAAAGGGCTAGGGGTATAGCTCAAGTGGTAGAGTAGCTGCCTCGCAATTGCAAAGCCCTGAGTTCAAAGCCCAATACCACAAACAGACAAACCAAAGTCTAAGTAAAGAAGTTACATAGATATATGCATAATTTAATCAGGTATCTTTTTTTGTATACTATTAGCATTGTATTGTTATTATACTATGTCATACTGTTTTGTACTCAGTTACATCAGAATGAGATACTGAAACAGTATTTTACAGTAAAATACTCTACATCCCTTATCTCCAATTAGACTATAAGCTTTTGGGAGCTGATTGCTTCATTCACAGCTGGAGTGCTCCTGGGGCGCACTGAACAACCACTGCTGTGTGCTAAGGGTTTCTATGCTGTGGATGAAACAAAACCCCCACATTAACCCACAGAGGGATGACTAGCTGGGGACCTTGTGTGTGCTGTCTCTTTACTGGCACATTCCCATTGTATTTCTTACTCTTCAGATAATTCACATTTTCTATGCATACAACATAAAGGCGTTTACTAATAGAATCTTGTACTCATCATTCTACCTCTCGGTTAGAAGCAAGTTGCAGGCCACATTCATACCTGGTAGGAGATCGCACAAGAGCATGAATCCCAGAAATGGGGACCATGGGGGCACACAGGGTCTGACTGCCACTTATTATATTGTCACACAGGCTGCATGTTTATCTCATTTAGTAATTTTTGCTACTTGTCTAAATGCAGTGATAATTTGGGGTTTTTCTTTTTTCCAAACAGATTCTATTGGCCGTGACATCCCCAAAATGCTTGAATTATTTAAAACTGGACATGAAATTATGGTAGATGAAGAAAGGGAGAACTTTCTGAGCACCAAAATAGCAACAGTAAGTACACTGGAAATGATTAATCTTTTCTTTTTTGTTCAAATTATTCCTTAATATTATAATATACCAGTCATTTGAACTTGCTTTTGAAACTGGAATTAGTAGTGTTGACAAACATACACTGACAATTTTCTTTTATTCTTTTAGCTATCTCATCACTGTTTGTGATACTTGAAAATTTCTTCCTTCCAGAGTTACATACTACTCACTGACATTTACGCATATTTTTTGTCTTTCTTATTTATTCTAACATATGTATATTTTGCTATGTGCTGTTTTAAGATTAAGAGTAGTAGGCGTAGATGTTATTTAATCTGTTATAGAACATTACATAATGCTGAACATGCAGTTGACATTTGATACTATCTAATGGAATTAATTTGCTTTATTTCAATGACTTACGTCTGATTATTTCTGTTTGTGTTTCGAAAATATCTATTTCTAGAAGATGCTGAATATGTTTCCAGTGCCATCATCAGGACACTAATAGAGATACATCAGAATTACAGAACTGTTTTAAAATGAATAGACATTAGAAACATTAACATTTATTTGAAACATGTACTTTGTAATATAGAATCTTTCAAGTGTCTATTTAACATAGGTAATTTTTCCTCTGTTCATAACTATAGAAATAATAGTTACGACCTAGTTTAAATAGTAAAAATTAAATAGTGCCTCTCGAGTGTCAGGTACTATTCTAAATAGTATGTTCTGTCATATTCTTCAACATATGAAAAGTAAAGTTACCATCCATCCCCATTTTGTAGATGAAAGCACGGAAGTCCAGAGAGCTTACAAACTTTTCTAAGATCTCAGCTAAAATGAAGCAAAATAGGGAGGAATTTGAATCCTAGCAATTTCTTCAGGCATACAGGATCTTCAGTCTATACCATCTTGCCTTATGTTGGAACTATTTGAATAGCTATTTTTCTTCCTCCTCCTGTTTTACTGTTAAGGGGAATTCTGCATTGTACCTGACAGCTAGTAGTCCAAGCTAATTGAGCTATGTCCATTGTAGGTCAGCAGAGATATAGATAAAGAGAAGGCACGTAGTAGAGCTATAGAAAAAGCACATAGCTAGTTTAATGGTAAGAAAACTTGCCTTAGGAAGGAAGAAAAGCAGGTTTAATGCAGTCAGAGATTGAGAAACTCTTAATTGCCACATTACTGTCCAAGCTCAGCCCAGTGTACTTGGCTTGAGCTCTCTGAACGTCTGAGGTTGAAATTTCTTTATTACCAAAGGCCCTTAGAAGTTTCTTGTTTCTTAGGGTTGACAATATAATAATCTAAAAAACAAACAAAATCAACTATAAATTTTAAGGAACTGTTGGGGAGCTATAGAGACTTATGTTTTAATACCTGTCCTACTATTTAAGGGATGGCAGACTTGAAGCAAGGTTCTTAAGAATGTTGTATCTCAGATTTACTCATGTACAGTATGTGTATCATGAACCTCTTTCATGACGTGTTTCTGAGAATTAGATAAAATTGTACCATTTAAAAATGGTAGTGTTTATGTTGTTACTGTTTTGGTTGGTCTTTTGCAACTATAGGATATCTTTTTAAGACTTTTAATTACTACCTGGATTAAGTCTGCCTTTTCTTATTTTCAATATATTTAGTAGTTAATAGTTTATATAGATCCTGACGTATAAGAAACCATGGAGTCTTACTCACTTTTTTCAACAAAACTATCATGATTAAGACTTGGGCTCTAGATCAGACTATGTGAAACTTTTGGAGACAAAGTGTTTTCTCTCAGTGAAAAAGAAGTTAATTTCTGTGTTTAAGGAGGATCTTCTTGAATGCTATTTAAGTATTAGACTACAGTGCTAATTAATGAAGTGGATTTCAGATTCACATTGTGGTTCAAATACTGCTTTCAACTTAGAAAGAACTTTGCCATCTTGCATTCTGAGCCTTTGTTTTCCTGTTTTCCACTTCTCTCATGTGTAAAATGATGGTAATGATAAATACTACCTAGCTAGAATGGAGTAAATGAGATAATAATGTAATAACTATGTAGTAGACTACTTAAGGGTGTGGTGGCGCAACAGACCTGATTTGCCTTACTACCTAAAACAGTGAGCAGTATCCGACACCAAAACCAGATGAAGAAAACTATAGTGCAATATCATTTGTGAACATAAGTGTAAAAAATTTAAAACAAAGTTTTAACAAATAGAATTCGATATAAAAAAAGATAATATACCTTGACAACCTTAGTCTGTTTTCTCTTGCTATAACAGTATCTGAACTGGGTGATTTATAAAGAACAGAGGTTTATGTTGGCTCAGGGTTTTAGTGGCTGGGAAGTCCAAGAGCATGGTGCTTGTCATGTGGTGAGGGACTCATGCTACATCGTAACATGGCTAGTATATGCTAGCAGACATGTGCCAAAGAGGCAGGATGTGAGGGACTGCCATGCGTTATAACAGCTCGCTCTCTGGAGAACACATCCGCTCACTTGAGAAACGAATTGATCCCTCTTAACAATCTAATTACCTCTTACAGGCCTTGCCTCCCACCACTGTCTCAGTGTCAGTCAAATTTCAGCATGAGTTTTAGACTCAGTTTTGGAGGGACAGACCATATTCAACCCATAGCAGTGACCGAATAGGGTTTGACCAAGGAATGCAAGGTTAGTTTCATACTGAACATTATATTTTAGCATATTATCAAACCAAAAATCGAAAACTATATGATCATCTCAGTGGATACAGAGAAAGCATTTGACATAATTAAAATGCTGATTAAAGTCTCAGCAAACTAGGGATAAGAAGTCAGTGTCCTTGGGGCTGGGATATGATAAAGGACATGTTTATCATGCATAAGACCCTAAGTTCAGTGTTACCCCCATGCCCTGAAAAAAGTCAGTGTCCTTAACCCAACAAAGGATATCTAAGAAGAACCAACAGCTAACAACATACTTGGTGGTGAAAGATTAAATGCTGTTTTCCTCCCAAGATCAGGAAGAAGACTCAGATACATATTCTTACTGCTTCTGTTCATCATTGATTTGGGGATTGTAGGCAGTGGGATCAGACAAAAAGCAGAGGTAAAAAGACACCTGTAACAGAAAGAAGTGGAACTGTCATTATTCACAGATTATACGATCTAGCTAGTCAAACAAAGAAGTGAGTTAAGTACATTTGAAGATACAAACCCCATGAGTAAAAGTCAGTTGTATTTCTTTATAACAACAATGAGCAATTAGAAATTGAAATTAAAA